ACTTATTTCTTGCATTAAAACGAGTCGATTAGCCTATATAAAGTTCATATTTTACTGAAATCTATAGATTAAATCATTTTTTTGAAAATAATCGTTCTTTGTATTTTTTGAAATAACTTTTTCTGATACAAAAATTTTAATCGATTGAGGTATACAAAGTTTACATTTTACTAATATTTATAAAATTGATCGCTATTTTTGTTGTAATCCTTCTTTTAATCTTGAATATAATAAGTGTATCATGATGAGGAAGCTAAATGGTCATGAAATGAACACCTAGTTTAGAAAAGTTGACAGTTTAATTGACAGCTGCCAACGGTCAATTTGACATCCTAATCGTAATGAGCGAACCCGAAAATCCATATAACATCAATTTTGTTAAATATAATTATTTTTTAGAAACTTCGACTGTTGCATTAACAGCTGTTAACTGTCAAATTGTCAATTCGACATAAAATTTATAATCAGCGATTTTAAAAACACCTAGTATGGTGTTTCATTAGTTCATTCCTACTATCAATAATTGAAAATTAATATTATTTATATCGTTACTGAAAACAATTTTTAGGTCCATTTTTTCATTTTTATAACGTTATTATTATTTTTCTAATATCTTTGGCAGAATATGTGCTGTGTGTGTGTGTGCAGATGTGTGCGTCAATTTTTATTTGTATATTTATTTATAAATTGTGTCAAATTCATAATTAACAAAGTGTCCAACCCTGAGTGTATAAAGTGTCCAATCCTAAGTAGAAGTAACATTTTCGAATTATGCTAACCATAACCAGACATGTTTCGCGATTCGATTTTACACTTCATTTTTTCATCAATCATGAACCCCACAATACATGTAATAAACTTACCTTACCGATTTCTTGGTTTCATTATTTATGTTTAATCACATCGCTCACAAAACGTTTTTCGTTCCTACAAATGCACCGACGTCACAGCAGACGCTACTTTTGATTCTCAAAAATTGTAGTGAGACACAAAAAGTTAGGTTTCACTAAGAGAAGCTTCGCCACGTCCGTGCATAGATGGCGCTAGTATTCTTATTTTAAGAAAAGCGAAGTGTCCAACCCTGAGTATATTTCCCTACATCAAGTATTGAGCTTTGTACATTTGTTTTTAAGGAATAAATTTTTTGAATGATAAAAAATATTCGGAAAATTTTTTAAATATTCTAATAAAATTATATTAAATCAAGTTAAATTTTGTGTAATTTACACATTAATAAAATAATCTTAATTTATGATAAATAATAATAATATTTGAATTTTTAAATGACATAATTTGACTCATGTGCCAATATACCCCGTCTCTGGGGCATATTGACCGAGCAAAAACAACTGATCTAGAAAAAAAACATAAAAGAGATATGAATTTTTTTTTTTAATTGAGCTGATTGATATAATTAGTTGCACAAATGTCGAATATAGAAAAAAAAGTAAGAGAAATAGAGAATATAATTAAATAATTTTGTCACGCTTATGATTATATAATGGCAAGTGTATAGGTTATATATATATAATCCTAACTAAAAAGTGTGTCTTCGACGCCAAGAGATGCATGTTTTGCGTAATTTTTGGCATCTATCCACTCCTCCTTTGATCAATATCTATGAAAAGTGGCAACACATTTACGCAAATAAAATTCGTATTTACTATTCAGTAGCATTCTATTACCGCGTGCGAGCATTTTTCTGCTATTCGAGTTTTGAAATTGTTGTCCATTCAATATACATTTCGAAATAACATATGTAATTTTAGTTTAAAATTCACCTACTTCTTTTTTACTTTTATTTAACGACAAGCATGTAGATTATCTTATTTTCATATATTTGATCAGTTGTCTTTTTTATATATGATGTAAAAATTAATATATTTGAATTTAAAAGATATTTTTGAATTGTAAAACATTAAAGTGTTGAAAATAAATTTAATCTTTAAAATTATCGAATGATAAAAAAATAATAAAAATTTTCCAGAGAAGGTGTAAAAAAATTTTCACTAATCTAAATTGGTGACCAAATAGAACAATATTTACGTGCAATATTCGCAATATTGACATGAAGTATTGCTGCAATATTGTGGTAATATGTTGTGCTATTTAAGTATGAACGAATTCTCACTTAATTCAAATTTAGAAAGTACAAAATTCAAGAAGTATAAAAATGATGTGACCCTATCAAAAATTAAATATTGGGGCAGTACAGCGCCAGTACTACCAGAAGTGGCGCGATATTGGTACCAGTACCGCGCCAGTAGTGAACTATGCTAATTTTTGGTAGGGGATATATGTATATGAATGTAAAAAAAATAAATTTTTAAACCTCAATTCTTAAAACTTATCGTTTCTTAAAACTATATATTAATTGTTAATGAAAGAATATTGAAATATAAAATTATGACAGCACTATACGCTGACAGTTGGAATGGTGCTCATTTCAAAATGAAATTAAAAGACACGATGAATGTGTGCGTTAAAAGCTGTATATATTAAAATAAAGGCGCAGTAAAAAAAATTAGAGTGTAAAAATGCTTTCTCTGGGATAATATATATATAAATTGGATGGGAAGTTAAGGGGGGAACACCAGTTGTAACTCAAAAAATAATGCTTTTTTCAAGAATATTTTCCAAAAGAACAATGAATCTTTTTAAAGAATACTATTTATTAGTTAAAAGTACATGTAAAAAGCTGTAATTTAAAAAAAAAAAAAAAATTTTTTTAACAAAAACTTTTGGAGATATGAGCCATTGAAGTGGCGTCTTAAGAAAAAAGGCGAATTGCGGTGACCAGCATTCTGCAAGTATACTTCGTCTGAAATACAAAAATGAAATTGATTTACATTTATTATAAGATTATCTAGTTCGTGATCGAAGGATTTAAAAAAAAAAAAAAATTTGACAAAATGGCGACCTGTCAAAGTCAAAAGTATGATTTTCGTTAAAAAAATACGGTCGATTTTCAGCTATATAAAAAAAAGTTTTGATTAAAAAAAAAAATCCTTCGATCACGAACTAGACTTATATGTGTAAATGAAGCACACTAAATTTTAAATAAATCGGTTTAATGGTATTCGACTAATCATGGTCACCGACTTGGAAAATGTCATTTTGAGAAAAACGCATTAAAAGTTTCAACTTACTTTTTTTTGTTCAGAAGAAATTTTGTTTCTAAGTTACAAAGAGTCATCGATTCCTGGACCATATAATAACTCTTCCGCAGTGGTTGCCGTTTCTAAATCATAGGAAAAGGCCATCTGTCGTTAGGGTCAGGTATGGCTGGCCACCTTGTATGAAGCCACGGGACGCGCCGCTGCAGTGTTCTGTATATCTCATTTATTTTTCACCGGATCAACTTTGAAATTTACAGACACATTTCTAAATATGTATACTTTAAGAAAATGCACCAAAAAAAAAATCGATTTTTCGAAAGTTACAACTGGTGTTCCCCCCTTAAAGGAACCACATGCATGTTTTGAGATATGTGCACATTATACTCATATATATATATATATAGAAATACCAAATAAAGTATCTCAATTACAAACACATTGATCCAACAGGGTTACTTTCACTGATAATCCGGTGGCGACTTTTTCGTCCAAGTATTTTGCTATAAAGGTCCGGCAGATTTCACGCTGATGTAAGTGAAGACGAACGCGGTTTTACTTCCGGCATTCAAAAGACACGTGCAGCACACTATATACTATATATATTTAACATTAATTCAAAAGTTTAATGATTCTCTGTTAATCTTATGCAAGGATTTTTAAAATACAGTCTGTAACTGCAAAATATATGATTTCTTTTTTTACCCTAAACGTACAATTTTTTCATTTCCATTTTAAGAAACCGGAAAATTTTTCATTATATATGCAAATATTTGCGATTGTCGCTTTTAAAAGGAAAACTGATTCTCCATTTTAGGCATATAAAATTATATATACTTATCGTATTAAATAATTTTTTTTCCTTTTGCTTCCTCGTGGAGGAAGCTTTGTAGTCCTTTCGTTTGTAAAAATTTTCAAAGTGTCGGAAACAAATTTTCCTCTATATAGAAACATGTAATATGAGATCCTGATCAACTGTCCGGATGTATGTATGTGTGTGTATGTGGATCCCTTTTTTGTTTAGAAGATAACTTTAACAGGTTTTTAATGGATTTAGATAAAATTTGGTAGGCTCATTTATCATATTAATATCTCAAATCTGACCAAAGGATTTTGAAAAATACCCAAAAAAAAAATTTTATCGTCTTTTTTCCAAAAATTTTTTTTTAATCGAAAAAATTTTTAAATAGAAAAATTTAAGGTTATATACATATAATAAAATCGTATTCCTTACGTCAAGACAAATCGATCAATATATATATAAAGTATACATTTGAGATAAATTTAAAGAATTAATGAAAGTTAAAAAATCAAAAATTCACATTTTGGCAATAAAATTTTGCTTTCTCCAAGAGGAAGCAAATTTTTTTGCTGATCGTAAAGAGGAAGCAAAATGTTCATGTAATGAACATCTGAATTTACAACTTATTTATGTTTATTTCAATGTTAATGCTTTCTCCACAAGGAAGCAAAATGTTCATGTAATGAATATCTGAATTTACAACTTGTTTTTTATTGTTCAGCTGCGGTTAGATTTTAGGAAAAAAATTTAAAGAATTTCCCACATGGAAAGATTCCAAGGAAAGTATGCTCCTGGGAATTTCCATCGGAATTCGTATTGGAAACTCCGACGAGATTCCGTTTGAAATCGGAATTTCAATCAGAATTCCATCGGAATTTCCAATACGAATTCCGGAGGAAATTCCCAGGAGCAAACTTTCCTTGGAATCTTTCTACGTGGTTTAATTTACATTCAGATGCAAAAATGATGTATTTATCATATGAGATTTGATTTGAATAATAGAAAATTTCTCTAGTAATAATAAAAGAAGTGTAAGTAAAATATTATAATCGAAATTAATTTTTCAAATGAAATATAAAATGTGTAGAAAATTGAAAATATATTTTGATTTACGTTTTTACAAAATGGCATAATATACATTTTCTCTCTCTCTCTCTCTCTAGAGGAAATAACATTCGTTTTCAGTTTTGTTATATAGACACAATAAAATCAATGCAAATAAGGAAAAAGAAGTAAAAGTTAATGTCGTGTTTCAAAAAAAAAAATAAATAAATAAAAATAAATTTTAAAATGAGTGTATAATATATAAAAGAATTTTATGATTTCAAGAACTTTTCATTTTTATAATTTAAACATTTATTAAATCTAATATTTTACTGAATTTTATGGACATTTTTGTGAATGCAGTTTATAAGGAAGATGTTTGAGACTCGTCACAAAGTTACGCCAGGCTATAATACAACGCCGATTCTATCAGAATCTCACGAACACTTTCACTTTTATTCACAAACCAAAAATTATGACAGAGTCGGAGAATATTATCCCATGTCTGAAGATAAACTCAATTATTTCGCATCCTGTATTACGGTTATATATCCGTGCAACAATATATAAAGTAAAATATTCAACTTCCATATAAATTAAAAAAAAAAGTAAAGCTTACAAATTTTGTTTTATTTTTTATTTTTCTTCCTTTTAATGATTTTTGAAAATTTATTTTTAAAAAAATTTTCTTCTGACTTATCGCTTTCGTTTGCGTTTACAATTCGAAACATTGGGTAGAGTTTGATTTTTACACTTTTTCACCCAACCATTCCAATATTTGAATCCTTCTTTCTCTTGAATTTTTCTCGCACACACAATGTCATCTTGAATATTATCGTCAGCGAAATCTTCACATTTTTTCATGCAAAGTCCACCTGTACGACCGCGAGTGCACCATTTACCGCTGCTTATTTGAAAAATACCATATGAAAAGCTTGATTGTCCCTTGGGACCAGAGATTTTTTTGGTATCAAGTCCACTTTCTTTTTCCATAAGACAAACATAATTGCTGAGAAATGTCTTTGAGATACCACCTTTTATAAGTTCTTTTGCTGCCTCACATCGACTTAATATTTTTGCTTGTGATGAACCAATGATGATTGCTAATAATGTAAAGAAGAAATAGAAGAAGAAGAAGCAGTTGAAGAATAGAGTACAAATGCGCATTTTATAATTATATGCCACGATGAATTAGTTGTGACAGTGTTGTATTTGTAATAAAAGAAATTTTACGACATATGAAGAATCGACTAAACTGTTTTCAAGTGACTGATAATGAGATAATATTCGTTACTGTTTCCGCGGAAAATTTGCTTTTGATATAGAGACACTCAACAGAACGCCGCCTATCGACCTTGCATGAAACAATAAGATAACCTTGAGCTTGAGCGATAAGGCGTTTCGAAGGAGGGGACATGAACCTGATTTTATAATGAGGTGAATTTGAATATTTCAATTTACAATCTATCATTACACATAGACCAACTTGTCTTTATGTGAGTTTCATTATTAAATTATAGCTTCATTTTTAAATAATTTTTTGTATTTCATTTTAATTCAAATTTACAATTTCAATTATATATTATGCAAATTTTTTATTATTATTATTATTGCAATTAATGCAAAATTTTTACAATAGAAAGAACATTATTTGATATGAATAAAATTTTAAATCTTAAATTAAAAGATTTTATTTTCAAAATAAGAGTAGGAATGCTGACGCAGGTAAAATTTTTTTTTCTACTTGTTTATTTAGGATTTAAAATTATTTTATAGATTATTAAAAATTTATTTTGATCCATATGTTAGAATTTTTATTTCTTGTAAAAATAGAAAATTTGAAAAATCTATATAGGTACGATTAAATTTTTGCAATTATGGAAAAAAAGGGTAAAAAAGAAATTGTTGATGAAAAATAATGTCAAAATTATTAGCGAGAAGTTCAATTTTTCCAGAATTTTGAATTCTATTAAAAAATTAATTAGTTAAGAAAATTTTTTGATTAATGCACTAGCTATACTATTTTTGTAAACAGTTTATTTTATCCACTTTATTATTTTATGTTCGACAACTAATTGTCGTGAGAGGGTATCAAGAATATACATAAAAAAAATAAATGAAATTTTATTTTCCTCTATATACATGAAAAAAATTTTGTTATCTAATAATTTTTTTCGTGAGTAATAATTTGATAAAGCTTGAAATTTATATTCATCTATGCTATTATATAATATGTTAGTTTAGAATATTTTTTTTTATAAAATTAAAAATTTCGTAATTGGTTAAATTTAAATAATTGAAGAAATAAATAATTAAGAGACACTTTATAGCTTCGATTTCGAATTGTGGCGCTCTCTTGGAAGAGAATAAGGAAGGTTGAAAGTCATTGTATAATAGGTTTTTAGTATACCTTTCGCATCAAACTACATTATCAACAGAATTTGTCTTTTCTTATTTTACATTTTAAATATATACTACTTTTTTTACATTTATTTAAAATTAATAATCCCTATTATTTCATTTGAATTTGAAAGAAATTATTTCAATTTCAAATATTATTAATTTTTAATTATTTATGTAAGGAATAATTTATGGATAATCGTTTATTTATTTATTTTTTTGTTGATTTAACTGTTTTTTTTTTTGATTGAATATAAAATTTCTTTGTTTCAGGAATAGAATATATAGGTCATTTGAAGATAAGTAGATAAATCCACCCTGCATGTGAGCTGAAGCGCTCAACCATTCTTTGTCTGACTAATAACAACTGTATCCCCTTACGGATGACCACCCGCTAATCTTTAACATTTATATCCGGTTAATATATAATAGTACATATTATATCTATTTGCTTTTAGGTCGATTTGATCATCATATATGCCGGAGTGTTAATTATTTTATTTATATATTTAAAAAAACACTAATTTTACGAATTTTTAATTATATCTAAATTATTATTAATTTATTAACTGTACTGTTTAGACACATTTTTCTTCTATAAAGAAGATTGTTTTTATATAATGGGAGATGTTTAATTTAATTCGCTTTTATAATTCCTTTAAATTTCATATGTATATAGGATACTTATATATTGTCTGACTGAAACAGAATTTTCTACTTTGAGGCCTAAATCTTGTCCCACTTAATAACGTCTTTTCTACTTACGCGATGATTTTCACACAATTTATATTTCTAATTACAATAAACAAAAAAGAAAGGTTTTCGTTATTATTACCTAAATTGTAATATTCTAATTTGCATATGACAGAAAATTTATTTGATTTAAATAAAAAATTTTATTTACGCCAAACTCTCTAAATTTGAATTAGCTAAAATTTCACTGTTTGAATCAGCGAATAAAGTTTTCACTGCAAATCAGCGGATACAGCTAATAAAATAGCGAAACACGAATCGGCGAACGTCGGTCATTTTCGTCGGAAGATAAATTTATTTTTAAAATGGAGTATTCCGCTGATTGAAATAGTTGTTAGTCGCTGATTCGCAGCTGCATACTTATAGCTTTTTCAATCAGCAACTATTCGCTGCCAATTAGCGGATTTTAGCTGATTCAAATTTAGAGAGAATAAATAGGCTACACTGAAAAAAGAGTTTAGTATTGACCACCAAACGTTTGGTTGGTATTTAAGCAACCAAAATTTTTTTGTTGAATCAACAAAATTTTAATTGCCTCAATTAAAAATTGTTCCTCCTTTGGTATAAAAACAAAAAAAATTTAAATATGTGTTGTATTTCAAATAACATAAGTGATACGAAGAGAAACAATTTTCTTAAATTTTACAAAATTGTTGTATGCGTGTAGATTACAGGAAAAATATAGCGAACCTGATAGGAATTGATTATCATAGCGTTGTCAAGGAAAAACCATGAATTTTTACGAAAAATGACTAAAAATGACTATGTCCCCCCCCCCCTAGCAGCCACTACCTATCAGGTTCGCTAATCTCTAAATTTGAATCAGCTAAAATCCGCTGATTGGCAGCGAATAGTCGCTGATTGAAAAAGCTATAAGTATGCAGCTGCGAATCAACGACTAACAACTATTTCAATCAGCGGAATACTCCATTTTAAAAATAAATTTATCTTCCGACGAAAATGACCGACGTTCGCCGATTCGTGTTTCGCTATTTTATTAGCTGTATCCGCTGATTTGCAGTGAAAACTTTATTCGCTGATTTAAACAGTGAAATTTTAGCTAATTCAAATTTAGAGAGTATATTTTAATAATTTTAATTTAATTTAGTAATTTTAATAATAACCTGTATGAGAAAAATGTGTTTTAGTTTTAAAAACATTATTATTCAATATTACCATAAAAATGAACTTGCCGTGACAGTCATGAATGTACTGTGATAGTGAAACGTGCCTTTAACTATAATGTTTTATTTACGCTTTTAAATTATTTTATACAAATTATTTGTTTTTTATTTCCTACGTGATTTTCAATAAACATTGTGTAACACATTGTATGTGAAAATCCAAAAGTGCACTGCCCTAGTAGAAATTTGTCCCAGTAATTATCGTGGCACTGGACAGTTGCGCTAGAAGCTGTCTAGTAACTTAACACTGCAACTGGCTAATTACTCGAATGGAATGTCACGCTTTTTTCGTCTAGTTATTGTCTAGCCCAACTTGATAAATTCTGATCAACGGTCCGTTAGAAAAACTAGACAAATTATTTCTTTTAAATATTCTCAAAATTTGTCTAATATTAAGATTTAATGTAAGAAACTAATTATACAATAATAAATTATATAATTACATTAATTTTTTTAAATTATAATCTAAATTATTTCAAGAAAATATAATGTATAGTAAATTGTTAAAAGCATAATATTTGTCAATACATGCGCTAAAAGCTTGTGTTTTTACCTTTCCAACGATATATTTTACTTTTGGATTATCTGAATCCATGTTAATTTTATAAAGCGATTTCGGAGGGACTCACGTGAGTCTTTTTCATCCTGCCGGAAGGCTGTTAGACGTTCTATCATTAAGCGCCGATTTCCTTCCATTCTGCTTGACATCTCTCCCCCCCCCTCTCTCTCTCTCTCTCTCTGTGTCAGGATAGACAATTATATTATTTCTTTAAGAGGAAAAGTATAACACATCGTTTTTGGTATTTTTTTAAGAAGTATAACCCTACAAAGAATTACCAGAGTTCACTACTGGCGCGATACACCCAGAAAAATGTTTCATTTAAACCAAATATGTAATATATTTAAGTTAAATAAACGTATAGGTTTCTATTTGTCCCACAGCCTACTACACTGAAAAAAGGGTTTGGTATTGACAAGCAAACATTTGGTTGGTATTTAAACAACCAAAATTTTTTTATTGAATCAACAAATTTTTGGTTGTCCCAATTAAACTTTAGTTAGGACAACAAAAATCTTTTTTTAGGGTTCCGTTCTCGGTTCGGAACCCTATTAATATCGGTTTTTTTGAAATCGTGTACCCCCCCCCCCATAGCGGCCACACGAATTTATCTGGAGGGCTGAAATTTGGTATCACTGTTTTTCTGAGGGCATCAATATGGTGTGCAACGTTTTGATGCCCATAATTGATATCAAGTTGATACCAGTTATGTGGATCATTTTGAAAAATGATGTATAAAAACGGTCTCATTTTTTGATACTCACAAAAGGTATCAATGTATGTTTAACATGGCTCGTAATACTCAACAATACTCAACAATACTTTAACAATATACTCGTAATTTGATGAATTATTTATATACATATAGGAGAAAGCAAAAAGGAAGAATCTGAAATCGGACAAGATATATATGATATATAAGAGGGTTGGAAATCGAATGGAATCGCGCAAAGGTTCTCGGGTACATATATATACATAGACGTGGTGGAGATAAGTTTTTACGGTGGGTTACTAACTTACGGACTTGGTATTGTTGAGTTTCCAGTATGACGAGAGGACAATGCTGCCTTCGGGACACAATGCTTCGCACTCTCTGAAATCTGAAGGCAGCAACCACCTTCCTTCTATATATATATAGTACCACGACTGATATTCGAATCTTCATCGAGTCACCCTCAATTTACCTATAACATTTTTCGGTGACTTTCTTTTCTTGTTCGTTACAATTGACAGTTTAAAAAAAAAATTTTTTTTTCAATATATCAAATTTTTTTGTGCAAGGATAAAAGGTTTTCTTATTTATATCATATTCGCTCAAATATGCTCAAAATTATGTAAATATTTTATTTTATTTGAATTATAAATAATGTGTAACATTTTTGTAACACACACTGACGATAAAAGAAACATAATTTTTTTTACACATATACAGTATAGGTATACAATATATTGACAAACAATTAAAATGATTTAATAATTTTTGTTGTTATTGTTAAAATGATATTAATATTTACATCCCGAAAGATCGGGAAGTGCTTTATTTTTACAATCCTTCACCCATCCTGGCCAATGATTAAATCCCTCCTGAGAGTGAATTGTTTTAGCACATGCAACATCATCTTGAATATTATCATTAATAAAATCATCACACTTTTTGTTACAAACTCCACCTTTTCGTGATTGTTCACACCATTTGGAACTGTTGATTTGAAAAATACCATAACAGTAGCTTGACAATGTTTTTGGTCCAGTTTTCTTTCTAGTGTCAAATCCACTTTCGCTTTTCATAAGACAGACAAAATTGCTGATGAATGAACGTGAAACTCCTCCTTTTACAAGTTCTTGGGCGGCTTCACATTGAGTCAACACTTTTCCTTGAATAGATGTGACGAATAAAATGAGAAGTATAAATGAGAAAAAAAATCCAATTAGATGCATTTTTTTGTGTTAATTATTTTATTAAAGAACGAAAATCTTGAAATGCAAAAACGTGACTGGATTGTTGCGAATGGAAAAAATTTATATTTCAATACTATCATCCGCCTATTAAAATTTATCAGTAAAGTGACATTAAAATTATCAACTTCTATATAATACTTATATCACATGTATTCATTCATCTTTTATCTCCATATAAAAATAAAATATAAAAATTTATAATAATAAACATTTTTTTCAAATCCTCAATAGAGTAGTTAAAATATGAAAAAAATTGATAAGAAAGAAATTCTTATGAAATTTGTTGATGCGTAAAAATATTTTGTAAGGAAAAAATGTAATTTTAATAAAAATTTATTATTGTTTTATTCAAAGCAGAATATAAAAATATAAAGTTTCATTGATAACATTTTTCGTTGTGATAATAAAATTGCACTGAGAAAAATAATTTCGTAATAATAAGAAAATAATTTAGTTGAGCTTTTTTAGTTGGCGTTACTAAAATATGGTTGTCACAACAGAATAGAAAGTGGCAATAAATCGGGAAGTTTAGTTGGCTCTACCAAAAAATATATTTGAAGCTTTCATGTTTACGAACTAAATAGTTTGGTTCCCAGTACTAAATAGCTGACATGCTGTATTGCGCACGCGCTCTTCTCGTAAATATGGCGTCGCTTCCCATTCACGGGATGTCAACATTAACCATATGTCGTTCGCGTCGTGAAGTTTCAGTGTTGAAGTTTTTATGTTTTTCAGACATTTTTTAAAAAAAAAAGTTTGTGTAGTGAAAATAAATAAATAAAACTTGTTAAAAGAACGAAAGTTTTTTTCCAGCTTTTATACATTGTGAAAATGATTTAATCTCAAATTGTTAGTAGGATTCGTAGAGTAGTGGTCAGCGTTCTCGACTAGCGTTGCGTAGTCTGAGGGTTCGAGCCCCAGCAGTGTTAGGTTTTTTCCGCGATAGAAATTAATTTAAGTAGGCATAGGTAGGTTATATAAAGAGAAAAGGGTGAAACAAAAAAATAAGTTGGTTGAGAAAACAAAAAAAAAATTTTCATTTAACTAAATTTTTTGTTTGATTAAAAACAATAAGTTAGTTGTGCAAAACAAAAAATTTGGTAGATCGAACAAAATGATTCAACGAAAAAATTTAGTAGCCCGAACCAAACGGATTAGTTCCACATATATCAAATAAAAAATTTGGTAGAGAGAACCAAACTTTGGTAGATGATACTAAACATTTTTCTCAGTGTGAAATAAATAAAAACCTATTGTAAAACAAACATTTAATTATAAAATTGAATAAAATTTTCAGACATATATAAACATATATGACTCGTATATAATCGAAATAGGACTGACGGTCTCAGCAACAAGAGACCAAGAAGCTTTTCTAAGTACAAGGATATTTTCCACATTTCTCTCAACGTCCCTTTTTTTCCTTTATCATTGCGCCAGCTTTTCTAGAAAATAAAAAGAAAAAACCCTAAATTATATACTTTATATATAAATGTACGTGTCGCTCGTAATCGGCTTTGCCAAATCGAGGGTGAACAATTTACTTCCTGAAGATCAATGACTCTATGGTCCTTGGATCATGCGTGTCTAAAATACACAATTATTCTCTTAAAGGTATGAAAAAATTTGTTTTTTACTTCTCTTAATTTTTTACTTTCTAAAATAATATTACTATTTATATTTTGGCTTTCTTTTCAAAATTTCTGAATTTTAATGATTTTTTATTTTTGAATGCTTATCCCGAGGCGAAATTTGAATCCTCTTTAGCTTCCCTTAGAACCTAAATAGGCCCTCTTTACGATCTTGTAGACTCCCGTAGGCCCTCCTTTGAATCCAAACGTGGAAGAAAGGTAAATTTGCGACTGGTTGAGGAAGCTAAAGAGGGTCTAGTTCGATTAAAAAAGTACAAAAAAATGCAAAAAAAACTCTTTTAATTATTTTGATTAAAGCAAAATTAATTTTTTCTTCACACAATATTTCTTTAATTACCCTTTAAAAACTGGAATTAACATATTTTGAAGCGTTTTCAAAAAATTAATAGAATTAGAGCAATTTCAAAATTTTCAATATTTTAATCAATTTTTAGACCCTACTTTAAATCCAAACGTGGAAGAAAGGGAAATTTGCGACTAGTTGAGGAAGCTAAAGAGGGTCTGTTTAACTCTACTTTACTCCTTATAAATTAGGGCTTAAATTTCGCCTCGGGATAACTTCCTTAAAAATAACATCCCGAGGCGAAATTTAAGGCCTACATTTTGCTTTAATCAAAATAATTATAAGAGTATTTTTTTGTACTTTTTTAATCGAACTAGACCCTCTTTAGCTTCCTCAACAGGTCGCTAAATTTCCTTTCTTCCACGTTTGGAGTCTACAAGATCCAAAAGAGGGCCTATTTAGGTTCTAAGGGAAGCTAAAGAGGATTCAAATTTCGCCTCGGGATCAAATTAAAAGTTTTTCAAAAATAAAAAATCGGACAAGTGCGAGTTACACTCGCACTGAAATCGAGGGTTCCGTACTCGAAGCGAACTTATTTGGTATAAAAACAAATGTTTAAAAAATATGTGTTGTGTATTAAATAATATATGTGATACAAAAATGAACAATTTTAAAAAAAAAATTTAAGAAAATTGTTCCTCCTTTGGTATAAAAACAAAAAAAAATTTTTAATTTGTTTTGTATTTCAAATAATATAAGTGATACAAAAAGGAACAATTTTGTAAAATTTAAGAAAATTGTTCCTCTTCGTATCACTTATATTATTTGAAATACAAAACAAATTAAAAATTTTTTTTTGTTTTTATACCAAAGGAGGAACAATTTTCTTAAATTTTTTTTTAAAAATTGTTCATTTTTGTATCACATATATTATTTAATACACAACACATATTTTTTAAACATTTGTTTTTATACCAAATAAGTTCGCTTCGAGTACGGAACCCTCGATTTCAGTGCGAGTGTAACTCGCACTTGTCCGATTTTTTTCTAATTTTGCGGAAAAATACATTTTTTTATTAAATTTATCATTTTTCTTCAAAAATTTGATAAAAATTGATCATCTACTCCAATCGCGCTTACATTTTTTCCCTGTATTTTTCACGCAAAAATACAGTTTTACAGCAAATGTGTACAATTTGTGTTGAATATTGTGTGCGCTAGGGAGAATAAATCATTTTTTTCGAAATTTTTGATTTTTCCTTGACAACGCTATGTAAATTGATCGGAATCAAGTTCGCTATATTTTTCATGTAATTTTCACGTAAAAATACGTAAGTGTACCAAATTTGAGCTCTTTATGTCAAAAGATGTGGCCGCTAGGGGGGGGGTACATAGTCATTTTTAGGCATTTTTCGTAAAAATTCATGGTTTTTCCTTGACAACGCTACACTGAGAAAAATGTTTAGTATCATCTACCAAAGTTTGGTTCTCTCTACCAAATTTTTTATTTGATATATGTGCAACTAATCCGTTTGGTTCGGGCTACTAAATTTTTTCGTTGAATCATTTTGTTCGATCTACCAAATTTTTTGTTTTGCACAACTAACTTATTGTTTTTAATCAAACAAAAAATTTAGTTAAATGAAAATTTTTTTTTTGTTTTCTCAACCAACTTATTTTTTTGTTTCACCCTTTTCTCTTTATATAACCTACCTATGCCTACTTAAATTAATTTCTATCGCGGAAAAAACCTAACACTGCTGGGGCTCGAACCCTCAGACTACGCAACGCTAGTCGACAACGCTGACCACTACTCTACGAATCCTAACAATTTGAGATTAAATCATTTTCACAATGTATAAAAGCTGGAAAAAAACTTTCGTTCTTGTAACAAGTTTTATTTATTTATTTTCACTACACAAACTTTTTTTTTAAAAAATGTCTGAAAAACATAAAAACTTCAACACTGAAACTTCACGACGCGAACGACATATGGTTAATGTTGACATCCCGTAAATGGGAAGCGACGCCATATTTACGAGAAGAGCGCGTGCGCAATACAGCATGTCAGCTATTTAGTACTGGGAACCAAACTATTTAGTTCGTAAACATGAAAGCTTCAAATATATTTTTTGGTAGAGCCAACTAAACTTCCCGATTTATTGCCACTTTCTATTCTGTTGTGACAACCATATTTTAGTAACGCCAACTAAAAAAGCTCAACTAAATTATTTTCTTATTATTACGAAATTATTTTTCTCAGTGATATGTTAATCAATTCCAATCAAGTTCGCTATATTTTTCCTGTAATCTACACGCGAAAATACATATGTGTACTAATTTTCAGCCCTCCAGATAAATTTGTGTGGCCGCTAGGGGGGGGGGGGGGTACACGATTTCAAAAAAACCGATATTAATAGGGTTCCGAACCGAGTACGGAACCCTAAAAAAATGATTAAAATTCATAAATTTTGAAAAATTAATATCTCGTCAACGGCTTGTTAAAAAAAAAATTGAAAAAAATCATGAAAGCTAGTCTTAATTAGTAGTAAAAGAAAAAAAGTTTCAAAAAAATCAGAGATGTAAATGCAAGATAGTATCTGATTTGGCGTGGAATACATCATATACTTCTTTTCATAAGAACTTTTCTTCTACTCAGAGATGACTCATTCTTTTCATCAGTATTCACAGTACTGTTTCTTGTGCCGATATTTTCTCCCTCCTTCTTTCATCGTCGCGTCATTCAAGCTTTTGATAGTGTGGCGACAAAGCTCTTTATTTCTTTTCCACGAGCGAATGGAACTCGGGTATGATGGCCGATACTGTGGCTAAAGAAAAGTGGTTCGCGATTCCATGCTCTCCTGGCAGGAGACCAGATTATTTTTAATTTTTTTTTTTTTCCTTTTTTTTAACTCCACCATTATACTCATAATTACGCGATCTTTAGAAAAAAGTTTTATACACGTTCTTCTTTTCTATATACTTGAATTCTTCTCCGCGCGTCTATTTCAATGACCTAGTTCTATGGGGCTTTATGTTAATTAATAAACTTCGAAAATATACCATATTATCAAAAATTCGAAGCACATATATGAATATTTTAATGAAACTCATACATTAGTTAGAGATTAAATAAATATTTATCTGAACCAAATAATTTTTATTCGAATTAAATAAACTGTATTTGGACTAATAATACCTGTATTTGAAACGCAAATACTATTTAATTGATTAAAATAATTATTATTTAATACAAATAAATATTTATTTGAGGCTTTGAGCAGCAAACTTCTTCTATGCGAGTATGCTAAATTTAAATTGTGATAAATGAAACTTTAAATAAAAATTTTTGAAATATAAACATTTTACTATAATTAATTTTCGGTTAAATAAAAATTTGATTATATGAAAATTCTACTAAAATAAAAATTAATTAAATGTAGAGAATTGATTTTTAATTATTCTATTGAAAGTTTTTTGTAGGGAAAACAAAATTTTTTTCTATTCGAACTTTAAGAGAATACATATATATATATATATACACATGGCGTATAGGAGTAAATGAGAAACTTTTCTTTGACTCGGAGAAGACTCGTTTATAGTGAAATTGAGATTCGTCTCTGTCCATCGAAAGGAGTTGTGTAATAGTAAAGGGTATATAAAGCTATGTAGGATTACTAGACGAGAGCCTCAAAGCAACTGACTCTCGGGTATGTGTATACATAGGGTGTCCTGTGTAGATTCATGGAGGAGAACAGAGAAAGGAGGGTGAGCTGAAAAGCCGTACTCGGCAGCATATGCAGATAATCGGTACAAAGCCTTTCGTTCAATGACAAAGGAAAGCCCCAGGCTAGCTCTATAGTCTATGACAGTCTTCGTATATTATTATTATTATTATTATTATTATTATTATTATTATTATTATTATTATTATTATTATTATTATACAGAGGATAGTACTAACCACCTTCTTTTCGATTTTAAATTTTACCAAAATTTTATATTACACGTTATCCCAAATATGATAGTATGTATAATCAATTCCCGCATCAGAATAGACAATTTCAATGTCAAGCTCGCGATTCTTGCGACATGCATGAAGCTTAGGAAGAAAAATATTAAATTGAATTTTCTTGATCAGAAATTTTTATTTAAAAACATATTTTTCTATAAGAAAAATAAGGGAACGCATGAACGCAACCTTACACGGTAAACTTGCCGCAAGCTTTACTGCAAGCTTCAATAATGTCCCACCTGACCGAAAGCTGGCATCACAGAAAATTAAAAGGCATTAAAATAAGCTGCAACGCTTATTATTTTAATGCCTTTTAATTTTCTGTAATGATAAGCTTACCGAAAAATTGCAGTGTAAGGTTACTGCAAGATTGTTAATTAATTCTACCGAAAGATTGCAGTGCAAGGTTACAGCAAGATTGCTCAGTAAGCTTGCTCAGTAAGCTTGTAGCAAAGTTGCTAAATAACCTTGCTTTGAGCCTAAAAAAATTTTTTTTTAAATGTTTCGTCTAATTTAGATAATTTTATTATATAAATTAGACGAAATATTAAAAAAAATTTAAGTTTAAAGCAAGGTTATTTAGCAACCTTGCACCAAACTTGCTACAAGCTTACCATGTAAGTTTAAAATGCCACTTTCAAATAGTAGAACAAATGAATGGCTTCTTCAACCAGCCGTCAGGTAACCTGAAAGCACCACGTTTGTACCTTCGGAATAAAAAATATTGTAAGTAACATGGCTCCAAAGGCAGCCAATTGTTTACGTTGACGTTTGCTAGCACACATTCACGTCTCGGGCTGCAAATACCAACGTAAACAATGGCTGCTTTTAGACCCTTGTTGCTCAATATATACTACTTAATTCTTCACATTGAGAAAAAAATTTTTTTTTCCTACTTTCGTCAGAAGGTGTAAATGCAGTGATTATACACGGAGAGAAATCTGCTGCGATTTGCGCATGAGCAAGTCCATAGGAATATAGCATGGACACTTCCAAGCAAAAACTATAAGATTCCATCTGAATATCAGGTGAGACTCATACAATAATACCTCGCTCACTTAGGATTTTTGCTTGAAAGCGTCTGTTACTATATTCCTAAGGACATGCTCATGCGTAAATCGCACCAGATTTCTCTCCGTGTAGTCATGTAATAATTACACAGCCCCACAAAAAAAAAGTGTCATGTACAGTAAAACGTACAAATGCCTTCCACTTGAAGTTGCTGCTAGAAAATGAATATTTGCGGTTAGTCTTGTATTTTCGTACTCTTTGCCGACAGATCTGCCAAATGATCAGGTGTCATCAATGGTCATCACTAGAAAAGTTTGTTTTGATCGGTTGGTTTTTTCGATAGCGGCTTTTGTAAATTCTTCAATGTTTTAGAAATAATTCCGAGTGTTAAAATAATTAAATGTGTTCGGGAATTAAATGTTAAAGTGATTGATAAAAGGATTATGCAATCAATTGCAGGTGAGTAACACTTTCAAACAACATGTAGGTTAGAAAAATGTAAACAATAACACAAATGATGTTTTTATATTTGGAAAATAAAACCAATAATTCTCTTATGATTTCAGTATTTTCCCCGTCAATTAAATGTGGAACTTTGTTTACATACTGAAATAATTATTTTTTATCACTAATTTTTAATTATTTGTCTTTTACAGTAAAACTGTGATTTAGACAATTTTGTTAAAAACAGGCTTTTTTCTTTTCGATTTTAAGATTTCTTTTTCCTCTCATTTTATTTTTTCTTCGGTTTTTACTCGTCGATTTACGGAAATCAGATTTATAACGACAATTTTGTGTTTTGAATTTTTAGTTATTATACGAAAGACAGCAACTACGAACAGAGGAGACATTATAAAGAGGAATTCAACAATCTTTGTCCGGAATATAAACAATTATAAAAATACGTTAACAGTAAAAGTCGATATTATAAGTGGCAGCAGCAATATAATATAGTGAAAGCTCAGGGGAATTTTCAAGAACTCAAGGTAATTGTTTGAAATATTTTTTGCTAAATAGATAAAGTAAAATATTTTTTATATTTTGTTTGAGCCAATTTATATTTCCCCCAGAGTCCTTGTCGGATATTTATTAGTAAAATTTGATAATTCATGGAAATAATTTTTGTAAAATCACTCAATTTCTAATTCATCTTTTAGAGCTTACTTATAATTTATAAGAACTTACAAGCAGAAAAAAACGTAAAATTTGTGTTTGATGCACAAAAACATTTTATATAAATTTTCTTGATTTTTTTCGATTTTTAACGGTATTGGATTCTTAAAAAAGATGAAAAAAATTCAAACTTCGGGAATTATTTAAAGTTAACAGATTTACCTTCGTTTCAAAACTAATTTAAAAGACAATGAAAAATTGTAGATTTCTTTGTAAATTATTACAGATTTATGAATTTTGTTTCTCCCAATTGAATTTTAATTCTCAAAAAGTATATTACAAAATTTTTTACATTTCAGATAAAAATAAAAATTTTTAAAGATTACAATATGAATAACGATCCGGTCTTCAAGCAACGTAACACGAGACACGATTATTTGCATGGAAAATTGACTCACTTAAAGAATTTGGTCGAAGAATTTGATACGAAGCATTTCGGTGTTAATGGTAACAAGACAAGATTTTGAAGAAGAAAAATATTTGTTTAATTGAAAATTGTTGGATAGAAAATTAATTTGGCTTAATATATAAAATATGAAAAAAATTTAATAAACATTAATAGATTTAAAGAAGTTAATTTCAGAAATAAATAAAAAAAGAACAATAAACGAAATTAAACACAAGAAAATACTAAACAAAAATAATGTTACAAATAAATTTCCTTTCATTAAAGAAAATATTAATATATTGATAATATATTTTTTTAAGTTAGAAAAATGTTAATTATTTTTAATAAAAATTTGATTAACAAAATTAATCTGGTTTCAATTTATAATGACGATTAAATAAAAAATGTCTCGTGCCTCTAATAATTATATTGATTTTTTATTGAAGTTATAATGAATAGTAACAATAATTAATAATAACAATTAATTTTAATAAATTTTAATTTCTTTAATTTAATTAATTTGAAAAAAATATAATGAATTTTTCTTAATTTTGGGGTGGCGCAACGTTTGTATGAGGTTATTAATGACGGTTGTCCACTCCTCCCTCGTGAAACTTACATCCCCTTTCTTCTTTCACTGAACGTAAGCTATAAAAAGAAATTTTTTGATAATTATCATTATTATCACAAGTGGAAAGATTCAATGGAACGTGCTAATTAGAAATTCCGTTAGAATTTCGATTTTCATTAGAAGTTTTTTCCTTTTTTTGTAAAAAGTATTTGTTTTTTACATAATTATATTGAAATTTCTCTTTTCAATAACCTTTCGACAATTGCCAATAAGAATTCACATGAAAATTTCAAAGAGCACTTTTCTATAAATCTATCCAGGTAAGTAGATTTAGAAATTTAAGGTAATTTTTTACCTATAGTTAGAGACGAACATAACATTAAATTTTTTATCAAATTTTATATCACTTTTGACCTAAAGGTCAATAAGATCAAGGGGAAAAACAAGTTCGCAGATAGTTCAAAAATTTTGAACAAAGTGTTTTTTTCGCCTCCAATACTTTGCCATACATGGCCCATAGTTCGACCATAGTCCAAAAATTTTGAAAAAAGTGTTTTCCTCCCCTCCCATACTTTGCCATACTTGGTCCATAGTTCAAAAATTTTGAGAAAAGTGTTTTTCTCGCCTCCCATACTCCGCCATACTTGGCCCATAGTTCGCCCACAGTTCAAAAATTTTGAGAAAAGTGTTTTTCTCGCCTCCTATACTCCGCCATACTTGGCCCATAGTTCGCCCATAGTTAAAAAATTTTGAGAAAAGTATTTTTCTCGCCTCCCATACTCCGCCATACTTGGCCCATAGTTCGCCCATAGTCCAAAAATTTTGAAAAACGTGTTTTTCTCGCCTCCCATACTCCGCCATACTTGGCCCATAGTTCGCCCATAGTTCAAAAAATTGGAAAAAAGTGTTTTCCTCCCCTCCCATACTTTGCCATACTTGGCCCATAGTTCGCCTATAGTCCAAAAATTTTGAAAAACGTGTTTTTCTCGCCTCCAATACTCCGCCATACTTGGCCCATAGTTCGCCCATAGTTCAAAAATTTAGACAAAAGTGTTTTCCTCCCCTCCCATACTTTGCCATACTTGGCCCATTGTTCGCCCATAGTTCAAAAATTTTGAGAAAAGTGTTTTTCTCGCCTCCAATACTCCGCCATGCTTGGCCCACAGTTCGCCCATAGTTCAAAAATTTAGAAAAAAGTGTTTTCCTCCCATCCCATAGTTTGCCATACTTGGCCTACAGATTGCCCATAGTTTACAAAAGTTTGAGAAAAGTGATTTTCTCGCCTCCCATACTCTGCCATACTTGACCCATAGTTCGCCCATAGTTCAAAAAAAAAGAAAAAAGTGTTTTCCTCCCCTCCCATACTTTGCCATACTTGGCCCATAGTTCGCCTATAGTCCAAAAATTTTGAAAAACGTGTTTTTCTCGCCTCCCATACACCGCCATACTTGGCCCATTGTTCGCCCATAGTTCAAAAATTTTGAGAAAAGTGTTTTTCTCGCCTCCAATACTCCGCCATGCTTGGCCCATAGTTCGCCCATAGTTCAAAAATTTAGAAAAAAGTGTTATCCTCCCATCCCATAGTTTGCCATACTTTGCCCATAGATTGCCCATAGTTTACAAAAGCTTGAGAAAAGTGATTTTCACGCCTCCCATACTCTGCCCTACTTGACCCATAGTTCGCCCATGGTTCAAAAATTTTGAAAAAAGTTTATTTCTCGCTGCCCATACTCCGCCATATTTGGCCCACACTTCGCCCATAGTTCAAAAAGTTTGAAATAAGTGTTTTTCTCGCCTCCCATAGTTTGCCAATACTTGGCCCATAGTTCGCCCATACTTCAAAAAATTGGAAAAAAGTGTATTTCTCGCTTCCCATACTCCGCCATACTTGGCCCATAGTTCGCCTATAGTCCAAAAATTTTGAAAAACGTGTTTTTCTCGCCTCCCATACTCCGCCATACTTGACCCATTGTTCGCCCATAGTTCAAAAATTTTGAGAAAATTGTTTTTCTCGCCTCCAATACTCCGCCATACTTGGCCCATAGTTAGCCCATAGTTCAAAAATTTATAAAAAAGTGTTTTCCTCCCATCCCATAGTTTGCCATACTTGGCCCATAGATTGCCCATAGTTTACAAAAGTTTGAGAAAAGTGATTTTCTCGCCTCCCATACTCTGCCATACTTGACCCATAGTTCGCCCATGGTTCAAAAATTTTGAAAAAAGTTTATTTCTCGCTGCCCATACTCCGCCATATTTGGCCCACACTTCGCCCATAGTTCAAAAATTTTGAAATAAGTGTTTTTCTCGCCTCCCATAGTTTGCCAATACTTGGCCCATAGTTCGCCCATACTTCAAAAATTTTAAAAAAAGTGTATTTCTCGCTTCCCATACTCCGCCATACTTGGCACATAGTTCGCCCATAGCCCAAAAATTTTGAAAAACGTGTCTTTCTCGCCTCCCACACTCTGCCATACTTGGCCCATAGTTCGCCCATAGTTCAAAAAGTTTGAAAAAAGTCTTTTTCTCTCCTCCCATACTCTGCCATACTTGACCCATAGTTCGCCCATGGTTCAAAAATTTTGAAAAAAGTTTATTTCTCGCTGCCCATACTCCGCCATATTTGGGCCACACTTCGCCCATAGTTCAAAAAGTTTGAAATAAGTGTTTTTCTCGCCTCCCATAGTTTGCCATACTTGGCCCATAGTTCGCCAATACTTCAAAAAATTGGAAAAAAGTGTATTTCTCGCTTCCCGTACTCCGCCATACTTGGCCCATAGTTCGCCTATAGTCCAAAAATTTTGAAAAACGTGTTTTTCTCGCCTCCCATACTCCGCCATACCTGGCCCATAGTTCGCCCATAGTTCAAAAAAATGGAAAAAAGTGTTTTCCTCCCCTCCCATACTTTACCATACTTGGCCCATAGTTCGCCCATAGTTCAAAAATTTAGACAAAAGTGTTTTCCTCCCCTCCCATACTTTGCCATACTTGGCCCATAGTTTGCCCATAGTTCACAAAAGTTTGAGAAAAGCCATTTTCTCGCCTCCAATACTCCGCCATGCTTGGTCCATAGTTCGCCCATAGTTCAAAAATTTAGCAAAAAGTGTTTTCCTCCCATCCCATCCTTTGCCATACTTGGTCCATAGTTAGCCCATAGTTCAAAAATTTAGAAAAAAGTATTTTCCTCGCCTCTCATACTCCACCATACTTGGCCCACACTTCGCCACATAGTTCAGAAATTTGGAAAAAAGTGTTTTCCTGCCCTCCCATACTTTGCCATACTTGGCCCATAATTTGCCCATAGTTCAAAAATTTAGAAAAAAGTGTTTTCCTCCCCTCCCATCCTTTGCCATACTTGGTCCATAGTTAGCCCATAGTTCAAAAAGTTTGAAAAAAGTGTTTTTCTCTCCTCCCATACTCTGCCATACTTGACCCATAGTTCGCCCATGGTTCAAAAATTTTGAAAAAAGTTTATTTCTCGCTGCCCATACTCCGCCATATTTGGCACATAGTTCGCCCACAGTTCAGAAATTGAAAAAAGTGTTTTCCTCCCCTCCCATACTTTGCCATACTTGGCCCATAGTTCGCCCATAGTCCAAAAATTTTGAAAAACGAGCTTTCTCGCCTCCCATAGTTTGCCATACTTGGCCCATAGTTCGCCCATAGTTCAAAAAGTTTGAAAAAAGTGTTTTTCTCGCCTCCCATACTCCGCCATACTTGGCCCATAGTTCGCCCATAGTTCAAAAAGTTTGAAAAAAGTGTTTTTCCCGCCTCCCATACTCCGCCATACTTGGCCCATAGTTCGCCCATAGTTAAAGAATTTTGAGAAAAGTGTTTTTCTCCCCTCCAATACTCCGCCATACTTGGCCCATAGTTCAAAAATTTAGAAAAAAGTGTTTTCCTCCCCTCCTATAGTTTGCCATACTTGGCTCATAGTTTGCCCATAGTTCAGAAAAGTTTGAGAAAAGTGATATTCTCGCCTCCGATACTCCGCCATACTTGGCCCATATTTCGCCCACAGTTCAGAAATTTGGAAAAAAGTGTTTTCCTCCCCTCCCATACTTTGCCATACTTGGCCCATAGTTCGCCCATACTTCAAAAATTTTGAAAAAAGTGTTTTTCCCGCTTCCCATAGTTTGCTATACTTGGCCCATAGTTCGCCCATATTTCAAACATTTTTTTTTAAAAAAGTGTTTTTCTCGCCTCCCATACTCCGCCATACTTGACCCATAGTTCGCCCATAGTTCAAAAAGTTTGAAAAAAGTGTTTTTCTCGCCTCCCATACTCCGCCATACTTGGCCCATAGTTCGCCCATAGTTCAAGAATTTTGAGAAAAGTGTTTTTCTCCCCTCCAATACTCCGCCATACTTGGCCCATAGTTCAAAAATTTAGAAAAATGTGTTTTCCTCCCCTCCCATAGTTTGCCATACTTGGCCCATAGTTTGCCCATAGTTCAGAAAAGTTTGCGAAAAGTGATATTCTCGCCTCCGATACTCCGCCATACTTGGCCCACACTTCGCCCATAGTTCAAAAATTTTGAAAAAAGTGTATTTCTCGCTGCCCATACTCCGCCATATTTGGCCCACACTTCGCCCATAGTTCAAAAAATTGGAAAATAGTGTTTTCCTCGGCTCCAATACTTTGCCATACTTGGCCCATAGTTCGCCCACAGTTC